CAAGTTGCTGTTAGCCACTCAGAGGCAAAATGTCCAAATATCATAAAATAAGACTCCAAATCAGCCGTGTGAAGCTATTTTCTCCTCCAGCTCACTTCTCCATCATCAAATTGGTGCACCTGAGCATTTTTCTCCAGAGAACAACATACAAGGCATTCATACTGTACCTACTAGAGACCACTGCAAATGTATTATAATGTCGAATGCATTTGACCTTTGAAGTCAAATATCTCAAAAAGGGTCTCGTTTGTGATGAATAATTGAAAAAAAGCAGCATGCGTACCTTTACATTTTTGTACAAACAACAATCAGGTCGATCCAGTTTCAAATACATGGAGCAGGTAGTTGTGTAGGGGGTTTGGGTATTTTGTGTGCAGCCGGAAACATAATAACATAAATTTGCATGCAGTGCTTATCAGGGATGAAGAAGAGAGTGTTTATATTTGGGTTGATCCTCGTGCATTTGTCAAACCACCCAGTTGGGTTTTAGCAGCCTAAAGACTCAGCACTGCAGAACTCAATAAATCCATGTAAATTCACATCTCACAAGAAAAACAAGACACTATAAAATTCTAACCAATAGAGCCGCCAGGAATAGAAGCATTAATGCAGCAACTCTAACACTCGTGCAGATTTATGAGAGTTAAGTGTTCAGGCTTTCTCTTTGTAATTTATCTGATCATCTGAAGTTCCCGGTATGCTGTATAATACATATATCCTTCAATTTTCTTTTTAGTTATTTATTTATTAGACTTTTTAAGAAATTACATGGCAAAACCAGTTGATTGCAGAGTGCATCAACAAGGCTTAAAAAATATACAAGTGAATTTAAAAACATTAGAACATTATTTATTGTAGAACATTGCCTTTGAGATTTTCAGGAGAAGTTATCATAAATAAATGAAAACACTTTATCCACTTAATCAAGCCTGTGTGGGCAAAAATCATAAAAGGTGTGGCCTAAAACATTCAGTGATTCAGTCATCTTTAAATAGCTAGTTAGAGTTGGGTAGTAGTGTGGCTATATGGTATTATAGGTCATCCAACAGTCATGAAGATATACTATTTTACTTCTAGCTATATAGTAGTAATAAAATAATATTGCTGCTTGTGACCCCCCGGGACAATCCTCTGCGCCTCTCGAGAGGGGGCTGGGGCTTTTCTGGTTACAGTCTCCCTGAGGTCCATGCCCTCTGGGGCAGCTCCTGGATATCTGGGACTTGGAGCTCCCTCCCTCTCCTAGACACCTTTGGGAGCAAAACTGTGGCCCCTCACACTCTCTATTGGACGCTCCTATAGAGAAACCTTACACATACAAGCGCATGTATGCACAAAGGTGATCACATGGTGCTCTTTTAAGTATGGACTTGGATATTTTCAACACGTCTTCAGGCTGCGGTTGGCACTAAATGCACTGTGATTTATTATTGTGTGATCAATGTTTTGTGTATATATATATATATATATATATATATATATATATATATACATTTTAATATATTTATTAGGTTCACACAGTGATAGCTTGCTCTTATATATATATATATATATATATATATATATATATATATACATTTTAATATATTTATTAGGTTCACACAGTGATAGCTTGCTCTTTTTGTATTGTTGTGTGCTCCTTTTTTCTTGCTGCAGGTCTAGAAACAGACTCTTGTTCATCATTGATTGTTGGTTTTTGTGGACCCCCCCCCCCCCCCCCGGCCACCTCTTCCTTTTGTCTCTTTGTTTCGCTTTCACCTCTGTCTCCGTGTGTGTTTGGAATTAAAAAGCATTCAAAAAATACCAACAATAAAGATTTTAGTAACAGGTGTGGCATTAAAGCAGAAGCTTTGATGCTCCACCTGAGAGTAAATCTGTAAGGCTTGTTACCTGCATTCAGACATTAATTCTGTTAGCTTCACAGCCGAACAGGATGCGGGAGAAAAATATATATAATATGATATCATCATATCTTTAATTTCCCTCTGGGATTAATAAAGTATCTTTGATTGATTGATTTGATTAAAAATAGAAACTGATTCAAATTGTGTATGACGAGGGAACTTATAGTAAACTCTTCTTATGGTATTGTTCTAGCAGTAATTTTCTTTGTTTTGACACCTACTGTTTGAGAAAAGTATTGCAGAATGTATAACATATTTCAGTGTGAACGCACACCTTTTCAAATTTTTAAAAGCATTAAAACGTGGCTTGTTGTGTACAAAAAGGTATGAGAGACATTCTAGATGGAAACAATAAGAAAATCTTGATTATTGTCACCTTTTTGAATGAAAACAATTGGATTTAATTGGATTTCAAAAATGTATATTGTTGCAAATAAAAGTCAACATTTCTATGATCGTCTCGTCTTCCTCCGCTTATCCGGGTCCGGGTCGCGGGGGCAGCATCCCAATTAGGGAGCTCCAGACCGTCCTCTCCCCGGCCACCTCCACCAGCTCCTCCGGCAGGACCCCAAGGCGTTCCCGGACCAGATTGGAGATGTAACCTCTCCAACGTCTCCTGGGTCGACCTGGGGGCCTCCTGCCGGCAGGACATGCCCGAAACACCTCCCCAGGGAGGCGTCCAGGAGGCATCCTGACCAGATGCCCAAACCACCTCAACTGGCTCCTTTCGATACGGAGAAGCAGCGGTTCTACTCCGAGTCCCTCCCGAATGTCCGAGTTCCTCACCCTATCTCTAAGGCTGAGCCCGGCCACCCTACGGAGGAAAGTCATTTCGGTCGCTTGTATCCGCGATCTCGTTCTTTAGGTCATTACCCAAAGCTCATGACCATAGGTGAGGATTGGGACATAGATCGACCGGTAAATCGAGAGCCTGGCTTTCTGGCTCAGCTCCCTCTTCACCACGACAGATCGGCTCAGCGTCCGCATCACTGCAGACCCCGAACCAATCCGCCTGTCGATCTCCCGATCCCTCCTACCCTCACTCGTGAACAAGACCCCGAGATACTTAAACTCCTCCACTTGAGGTAGGACCTCTCTCCCAGCCCGGAGTTGGCAAGCCACCCTTTTCCGGTCGAGAACCATGGTCTCAGATTTGGAGGTGCTGATCCTCATCCCAGCCGCTTCACACTCGGCTGTGAACCTACCCAGCAAGAGCTGAAGGTCAGAGCTGGATGAAGCTAGGAGGACCACATCATCCGCAAAAAGCTGAGACGAGATTCTCCTGCCATCAAACTCGACAGACTCCACACCACGGCTGCACCTAGAAATTCTGTCCATAAAGGTATTGAACAGAACCGGTGACAAAGGGCAGCCCTGGCGGAGTCCAACCCTCACTGGGAACAGGTCCGACTTACTACCGGCTATGCGGACCAAACTCACGCTCCTCTGGTAAAGGGACTGAATGGCCCTTAACAGAAAGCCACCCACCCCATACTCCTGGAGCGTCCCCCACAGGGTGCCCCTGGGGACACAGTCATAAGCCTTCTCCAAATCCACAAAACACATGTGGATTGGTTGGGCAAACTCCCATACCCCCTCCATCACCCTTGCAAGGGTATAGAGCTGGTCCACAGTTCCACGGCTAGGACGAAAACCACATGGCTCCTCCTCAATCTGAGATTGAACTATCGGTCGGACCCTCCTCTCCAGTGCCTTGGAGTAGACCTTTCCAGGGAGGCTGAGGAGTGTGATCCCCCTATAGTTGGAACACACCCTCAGGTCACCCTTCTTAAAGATGGGGACCACCCCGGTCTGCCACTCCACAGGAACTGCCCCCGATGACCACGCATTTCTATGATTTAAAACAAAAACACTGAACATAACTCAGACATGCTCTGACATTGCCAATCGGCAAATGATCACATTTCCAAAACTGGATGAGTTTGTAAAACCAGAGATTTCTTAGAAAAATAAGGAATAAAAGAAAAAAAGAGCTAGCAGAAAATTCAAGGACTGTAGCCACTGAACACCAAGTTCTGCTTTTCATAATATGAAAAAGCAGGCTTATTGCTAATAAAATACGACCATCTGACCTGATCTGATAAAACAAGTAATCAATTAAAATTATAATTTTGTTTATTTCCCCATAGTCCCTCCCATGGTCTAATCATCTATACGAGCCCAGAGTGTTGACCAATAGAGTTGCAAATCCACAAGAAAAAGCTGTCATTGGCCCAGTTCCGATACTTGCACTTCCACCCTTGTACCCTTCAATGGCAGAAGGTGACCACGCCCCTTTTGCATCCATGTACTGCACTTTTCTAAGTCAGCATCGATGGAAATTTCCAGCAAGGGTATTACCCACAATCCATTGCGGTGTGAGAATTTTGAGAAGAAGGCAAAGCAAAGGCTCAAGTGCCTTTTCTAAAACTGTGTATTTCAAATGAAAGAAGGTAATTTTAAGATGATTCATTATATTTATTCATGCTCTGAGTGTTTTAGACGAGAATTAATGTGGACAGCAAAAAATATAAGTTTAGTCAAATAATTGTTGGCTTGTTTGGCATCCTTGCATGTGTCGCTCCTTGTCCCAATTTGGCACACTTGTGTACTACGCACTTGAAGCGTACCGCACACCTCCTCTGAGTGGACTTCACAGAAGATGTAAGGTACAATTGCGAGTATTGTGATTGGGCCAATCAACAAGAATGTGTCTTAGTTCCCAGCATGCACTGCAGAGTGACAGTCATGCCTCAGTTATTTTAGCACACCAACCTAGCTTGAAAACTACCTGCAGTGAGTTAATGTCAGCCTGTAAAGCTAACTGTGGAAGAGATAGGATGGGAACAAAATCGGCCATAGTTATTCAAATTTCTGAATGTCCTCTCCTTGATCACGTCACACTGCAGACCCCATTAAAATACATTTTAGACATTTGATTACCCAGCTAAACAAATCTGGCAGGTTCAAAACACAATAGGGGTTAAATTAGATTTAGCTTGTTAAAATATTTAAAACGTTGAAACACTCAGAAGCTCATTTCTAGACACGCAACCAGTGAAGCCCTGAAATTCTAAATCCTATGTGCTCCATTCATACCTGCGTGGCTCATCTCTCCAGCCCTGAGGCCTGATGGCAAATAGGGCCTTCGGAAGACCCTCTAGGCCCAGTCCAGACAGGGCCGGTCCCACAGCAAACCACATGTGACTTGGCCCGGCTTGACCCGCTGCCCAAGCGGCCCGGAAGATCAGCTCAGCTTCTTCCAGGGAGCAGTAAAGCAGACGCACCTGGTGAGAAGAAAACAGAACCAGGAGCATGATGGAAACGGCACAAAACAAGACTTTTTTTATGTAGTTGCATAATTTTACTCCATGTTTTTTTTCTCAATAATTATAAATATAATTTTCCAACAGCAAGATAAAGTTTTTCACTTCAACATTCGTGCCTCCAAGTTGATTTAATTATTTTTAACACAGCACTTGAGTAATGATGGATCTCTGCCTATGCACGTTTTCATTTTCCCTTTCAGTTTTAGGAGTGTGTGAGTGTGTGTGTGTGTGTGTGTGTGTGTGTGTGTGTGTGTGTGTGTGTGTGTGTGTGTGTGTGTGTGTGTGTGTGTGTGTGTGTGTGCGTGTGTGTGTGTGTGTGTGTGTGTGCGTGCGTGTGTGTGTGTGTGTGTGTGTGTGTGTGAGGATGCGGTGGATGATGAGGGTACTTGAGATGATTGCTCAGAGGAAGCTCCTGAGCAAAGAGCGTGTGACAGATTGGGAAGACAATCGGCGAGGGTATAAAAACTGAAATCAGTGAAGACTGCAGTAAGAATCACAAGCAGTACTGTCAGCAGGAGTGTGATGTTTTGATCACATGCTGCGCGTTCACTGCTGTTCCTCACGTCGGAGAGGTTGGCCAGATGATGCCGATCCTCCCACTTGAACGACAGCGGATGGAATCGAGGTCGGCGTGAGTTTGTTGCAAACGCTCAGCCTCCATCCATCACATGCTCCAGGCAGTCAGCATACATTTAGACTCCTTTACATATGAAATCTTCATTTCTCAAGCTTAGACGATGTCACCATGTGATCCATTTTTTTCTTCTTTGCTCATTCTATGACGGAAGGGACTTTCCTCTTTTCTGCCACCCTTCACAGAAAGCAGTTATTTGTTAAAATCTCATGCAATCAATCACTTTTTTTTAGCACAGGTGTTTCGTAATTTCAAATGATGGATGTCTCATTTTGGATATCAGTTAGATCCCTGTGGGTCTTCATATTTTATTTTCACATCCCAGGATAAATTACAGCAAAAATACTCAAATGTGTCCAGCAAGCAAGCTCTTTATGGAAATCAAGTTTAAATGTATATTTGGTGCTTTAAATACATTTTTGTAACAAATAAATATTTCTAAAATGTTACAGAGTTTTGTTAAGCTAAAATCAACAGGGATTTGTTTTTTATCGATGCTAAATTAACTAAAGATTAATTGATGGGCATGACTAAACAAAAAATCCTTTGCCTATTTAAAATACTTAATATCTTGTTTCTTTTAGGATTTTCAGTAGTTTCATGTTTGGGCAAGGTATTACATCCCAATTACCATTTTCCTTTTTACGTTGATTTGCTTTTTGACAATTATTTTGTTTATTTGCAATATGGATGAAGGCAATACGTATGCGTAAAGAAGAATGTAGATTATATGACTTTTTCTTTTGTTAAAGGTGTGGTTTACTCATTTATTCAATACATTTGCAGGATTATTTAGTGTAAATTAATGTCTTATGAGTCATTAAAACATATATGTTGCTCCAGTTCTGAAATGTAGATGTTTACTGGTGCAGAAACGGGTTGAAAACTGCAGGGTTGCTCATTTTTATTAATGATGTGCAAACAGCTTGCTTCTGATTGGCAAACAAAAGGTGTTCAGCCATGTTACAGAGTCACATTGACCAAGACACGTCCCGCTCTTTCCCCTCGCTGCAAAAAAAAATACATTTCTGTGGGCAGGTGTGAGCCAAGGTGGGCGAGGCCATGAATGCAAACTCACAGTGTGACATAGATATGTGAGGATTTTCAAATCCTAGAATTTCACCGTCTTATTTTCTGTCAGAAGCTGATGCAGGAAATACAGTAGGTATAGGAGATTGTTTACATGTTCAGCCTGCATGAAAAACTCAAAATGATTGATTTATAATCAGAAATAATCATTAAACATGTTTTTTTAGTCAACCACACCTTTAAAGTGGGTCTAAACTCTTTAGTTCAATAAATGTCCTTCGGTCTCTAGCATGAACAATTTGGTAAGTGGACTTCGTGTTTCCCAACCCTGGTCCTCAGGGCACACTATCCATGTTTTCCATGTTGCCCTTTTAAACACCTGTGTTTTCCTGCTACCATGCACCTGACTTAAGTAAATGCACGATTAATAGGCATCTGTAGCACTTGATGTCCTGAGGAGCCAGTGTGCGGAAGCAGAGACATTGAAAGCATGCAGTACAGTTTGGAAACACTGTTCTAGGTAATCTACCTCCTTCTAGGGTTCTGAAACCCCCCAAGGCAATTCAGAACATAATCAGTCATTCACCAATGCACACACACATTCCCACGCTGATGGCGACAAGCTACACTGTAGCTACCCTGCCCTGATGTGCACTAACAGGAGCGAGGCTGCCAAACATTGGCACCACCAGCCCCTCTGACCACCACCAGCAGGCGTATGTGCTGGGCAAGTGTTACGTGCAACACATCATGTTTAATCTCCACAAATGCAACAAGCCTGAAGGAGTTGCTAATGCTAAAGGTTAGCTTCTTCTAGCCAAGATGTTCTCTGCTCTTTCCTGGGTGCTAAACCAACTTTCCTGTCGTGAACCAATATGGGTGGGTCTATAAATGTTGATTTACAGGTGTGACTGGCTTTTTCTGAGCTGAGAGGTTCGCTGCCTATTTTATACCAGTGGCAAATGTAAGGATAAAAAAAGCAACAAGACATTCCCACTGTCAAAAGCAAACAGAAGCAAATCTTAATACTGAATGAAAACACAGGAACAATGATGATGAGTTCAATTGTACCGTGGTTTTAGGTGGATGCTTTATTGCAGTTCAGTTTGCCCCAGAAAATAAAAGTTTTTAGACAAAATCATTAAAAGGACTTTAAAATGGTATTCAGATTTGAATTTATTATTTTTTTAATATTAAAGTAAAACAGGAAAACTTTTTAACTTTACACATAGTTTGATTTGGTTTGTTGCCAGTTTTCTCAGGCCAGGCCTATGTTTTAAAGCAGTCATATACAGGAAAACAGCACGTTTACTCATTAGCTTACTAGATCTAAACCATAATCAGATGTCTGCATTATGCTAATGGACGAGGGAAGCTTTGAAGTAAAATAAATGGCCCATGCAGTACTATAGTCTCCTGAGTGCTATGAAGATTATGCAGTAAAGTATGTAACATTAATAATACTGAACAACTGAGACACTGAATTGTCAAGCTGTGAATGCGGGTTTTTTTTTCAGATGCAGAGACAATTTGGGGCCAATGAGGCCAGATTTTAATATCAAGTGTGCATAATAATTTGTTCAGATCCCCATATGGCATGTTAATGACGCAGAGATAATAAAGAAGCACAAGATCTAAACAGTTAGACAAAGTAGAAACCAAACACCTCAGCTACAGCCTTTCATCCATTTTTAATTATTGAAGAATGGACCGAGTTAAATCAGTTATTCCAACATCAAGTGAGAATGAGTTTGTGTAAAAGACTTTTCTGTGTAGGTAATGTGAAACACAACTTTGCCAACACCAACACTGCACACGAAAGATTTTTGTTCTCTACTCCAAATTCCACTCCAAATTATCCAAAGGTAGTTGAACAGAGGACATAGTGCACTCAAATCTAAAGTCTCTTGGTGGACCTGTAACCTGTAAAACCTAATTTTCTCCTCTTAAAAAGGCCAAAGAGGAACTTAGTGTTTGTTTACAAACTTCCCCGCCTCCATACTTCCTGTTTCTAGAGCCAATCATAATTTAGTCTGTGGGGTTGCCAAGTTTGTGCCAACAACGATGGTGTTTATAATGCGACACCAGATGGCAAAAAGCAGCAGCATTGTTGGATTTTTTTAGCCAGTAATAGGAGCAGCCATGGTATCTTTTTGTTTTACTATATAAGGAAGGCTAGAGGCTAACGTTGAGCTAACGTTGAGCTAATAATGCTAACAGTGAAATAGAAGCAAACAGTCAGCTCTAAAAACTCTCAAACTACTTTTATCAGTTACCAACAACTCAATATTCCAGTGAAATGTATTTATCTATGTATCAACTCACTGTGTATGACTCGTCATTGCTTGTCATCTAAAATGCTCTGGTATTAAGCCAAAGCTGGCAACAGACATGAAACTCACGGAATGGAAGTGAGAAAGTCACTTTTGTGCTGCAGTACCCAAATTTGACCACTGGATGTCATTCTAACTTCATTCTTACATGTTGCACCACGAAGCTGAGGGCACAAGGCAGAATTTGTCCACTGTCAGTGATTCCTAGTTGCACTCATCTGCACCTTCTCAGTGGCCTAGTGGTATGAGTGTCTACCCTGGGAGTGGGAGATCACCGCTCAAATGCTGGTTAGGGCATGCCAAAGACTTTAAAAACAGGACCCAATGCCTCCCTGCGTGACCTTCAGCTTTGAGAGATTGGACTTGGGGGTTAAACTACCAAATAGTTCCCAAGCGCAGCCACTGCTGCAGCTCACCGCCCTCCACGGGGATGGGTCAAATGCAGAGATGTAATTTTATCAGCATTTGATGGTACGAAAGGGACTTTAGTTGGGGGGCATTCGTCATGGCTAGTTTGAATAAAAGAAAAGAAATCGGCTGGTGTGTGAGGGAAACCGACCTGACTACACCTCAGGTCCATTCATTCAAACATCCTTCCTTCAATACTTGTGGACTCCTGAAGCTGAATCTTTATGCATTTGTGTGGTGTGAACTGTATACCCAACTGTAGTGCATTACGAATTTAACAAAGAAAAAAGAGAAACTAAGATACAGGAAACAGCTTTGGAAATTTGGAGTTGGGATTATTTTAAGGTTCTTCTAATGGTTTTAAGTGTCTTAATGGTCTTGGGCCTTCTTATCTATCAGAACTGCTTTTACCATACGAACCCTCGCGGCCTCTGCGCTCCTCTGGCAGGCGTCTCCTGGTCATCCCTAAAGTCAGGACACAAACTCACGGCGAGGCGTCCTTCCAGTATTACGGCCCTCGCCTCTGGAACGAGCTGCCGGAGGACCTCAGGGCCTCAGAGAACAATCATGTTTTTAAGTCCAGGCTCAAGACCCATCTTTTTAGGTTAGCTTTTATCTAAATATTTACTACAGTTTTATTCCTTGTTTTACATGATTATATTTTATTACTTGCTTTGCATGTTCTATATGATTATATTTTAGCATAGTTTTATTATTTAATATTATTATTTTACTGTCTATATGATTTTATTTATTACTTATTTTCTAAATTTTGTCATTTATATTAGCTCTTTTATTACATTTTTACTCATTTTAATCCAGTGTTTCCTCTGTAGGGGCCCTCTGCCCCGGGGGCGGTGGTCGACTGTAGCTTCCTGGGCGCTCTATAGGTAGTGTTTAAGTGGAGGTGGGGGTCTATTCTCCCCCTCCAATGAGCACCCTGACTTAGTGTGGAAGACCTGATGCTGCCGGGCAGACGGCTCCTCTGATGGCCTTACCTTACCTTACCTGGCTCATCTGTACTCAGCCAAATATAATTTTTACTTGTGTGTGTGTGTGTGTGTGTGTGTGTGTGTGAGTCTGTGTGTGTGTGCGTGTGCGTGTGCTTGCATATGTCTGTTAATGTTTTTAACCTGTTATGGGAATCTGGGGTCATTTTGTAAAGCACTTTGTTTGAAAAGCGCTTTATAAATAAATTTGATTGATTGATTGATTGATTGATTGATTGATTGATGAAAAAACAATGCCAAAAAGCTAGCGAGGTAGCGCAAATATTGAGTTAGATATTTTTTATACAATAAAATTCATAACCTTCCCTTTTCTGAATTCCTCTCTAGATTTGAATCTTTGTATTCACACCAATGCGTGGCCTTAAACCTTAAATAAAATGATAATATTGAAAGTATTTGCTTCTCTTTTATTCAAAAACTGACCAATAATACAGTCTTAGAAACCAATAGACATTAAAATATGCTTTTAAATACTGGAAAAGTTAGATTTGAGCCAAAAACCACACACACATTCATTATGTTGTCTGATCATTACTCATCTTTTCCCATGAATGATTAGCTGAATGTCTAGACTCATTCACAAACTAACACTGCTTCAAAAGCATCAAATTTTCTTTCCACAGGTTCATGCATCCATGTATTATTGCTGTAAATTTAAATAGATGATGGTGACATTCGTAGCAGGACACGGCATTATCTAAAGGGTAACTGAGAGTAACAAATGCCTGAACTTGGAGACTTTCCAAGAACTTCCTCCATCCTTTACAGTCACTTTTATTTTGGTGCTGGTGTGGAGGTTTAAGGAAGCACTTTCTGGGGCAGATGTACGTGAATGTGTCTGCTGCATCTATTAGTCTCTGTCATTCTCCATTAACTAGTATAAATGCTTTGAGTTTTTGAGGTATGGCATCAATTAATTGAATGCAGGCTCATTTTGTCCATCAATAAATCAATAAAAATAAATAAAATAAAGTTTTTGAATCCTACAATTTCCTAATATAATTCATTTTGACATCTACATTGCATTTAACCCCCTGCTGTTTGACAAGTTATGTCCCTTTTCATTAAATTACACCACGTTCTCTCTGGCCTTTATTGCCCTTTCTTTATTGCCTTTCCCCCCCCCTCACAGATTTCATTTTAACAAAAGTCATTTTATGAGAGAACAGCCAAAAAATGAGTTAAAAAAATTAGAAGAATTTTTTTTTTTTTTTTTTTTCAGAATTAGTACATCATAAAGGAGCTAAATCTTTCCAAGTGACCTGAGTCCTTGTTAAACCCTCCCACTGTCTTCATGGGTGACACCACGAGGAAAGTTGACCATTGAGCAGGATTGATGGTTTATCCCTTGAGGTCCACGTGGCAGGGGTAAGATGGTGCTCACTCCTCACCCCTGCCACATGGACCTCAAGGACAAACCATCAATCCTGCTCAATGGTCAACTTTCCTCACGGGGTCACACCCATTAGGACAGTGGGAGGGTTAAAAATAAGAGTTGGAGTGGTAAAATTTAAATAATTTCTTCTTCTCTGTCAAACAGTAAGGCCAAGTGAGATGTTTGTTTTGTCTTAATGATCAGTATTTCCTGGCCATCCCTTTTCCTGCACGACTTCTCGAACAAACTTTCCCCTTCTATCCTATTAATTATTAACTGGGGTTATTATGAGTGAACATGTACACACATACATACATATATATATACATATACATATATATATATATATATATATATCCCTCCACAGGTGGTCTTCTCCTTCCTAGCTTGTGTCCTCTACCAGAGGCCTGGGAGCTTGAGGGTTCTACCCAGTATCTTCGCTGTTCCTAGAACTGCACTTTTCTGGACTGTGATGTCTGATGTTTTTCCTTAGATTTGCTTTAGCCACTCCTCCAGTTTGGGGGTTACTGCCCCGATGATCATGGGCACCACCGATTTCTTACAAGCAGGAGACCGGGGTTCAAATCTCGGTTGCGGCAAAAATACCAACTTCTATTGTGGGCCCTTAGGCAAGACCCTTGATGCTATTGCATACCATGATGAAAGAAACTGGGGGAAAAAAATGTGGCAATACCAAGTGATGCAACATCTGGAAAAAGGAGCACAACAAACTAGAGAAGTACCAGGGCCTCAAGGAAGAACTTGAGAAAACCTGGAGTGAAGACATCGGTGGAGTCCCGTGGTCATCGGGGCACTCAGGGCAGTAACTCCCAAACTGGAGGAGTGGCTAAAGCAGATCCCAGGAAAAACATCAGACATCTCAGTCCAGAAAAGTGCAGTTCGAGAAACAGATAAGATACTGCACAGAACACTCAAACTCCCAGGCCCTCGACACAGCATTTAAATTTTATCTTACATTCACAGCAAAAACCTGTAATGAATACCAGAGCGATCATAACTGATATTCTCTTTTCCGACATACTCACTTGGGCTTCGTTGTCTTTAAGCAGTCGCTTGGTCCGTGCCCCACCAGGGTCATCCGTCACGTTAAGAACCACCACGCTCTTCTTCTCCCAGCCAATGAATGAGCCATCCGTCATCCCTTCCACCATGGCCAGGAAGTCCTCATAGCCATGGTGACGGGTGGTTACTACAGAGAAAGATGTCCAGTCGTATTCTTCAAGCACTTCAAAGATCACCTCAAGCTGGAGAATTGTGGAGCAGGTGAATTGGAGGTAGATTGAGCCGCTCTCCTGAAAACAGAAATGTAGATCACTTTAAAATAAATCCATATTAACGTTATTAAAGCACCCATTACTTGTCCTGCTCTGGTTTTGAATGCTTGCATCTTGAATAAAGTGCACATTTGTGAACTTGGGCATAATGGGATAGTTTATGATTACTGCTAGTTATATAAGAGGACATTTTCATACAGTAGATGCCTCAGCAACTACTTGGTGTTCTCATTAATTCCATTTCTCTTCTTTGCACTGTGTCCAACTGATTTAAGTTTTTCTAAGAAGAGAACACTGAAAGGAATGACGCAGACTGTCAAAACAGTCCTTGGCTTTTGAATAAAAGCTTTCAGTGTCAGTAAAAGAAACATTGATGGCCTTCCTCTCAGCTGCAACAGTCATATTTAATTTCAGTAGACGAGCTGTTCACCGGATGAAAGGAGAATTAATTTATCTGTGTTCTCTGCTGTTCCAATTTAGATAAACATGAATAAAGTATTTAAAGTAGCTTTCCGGAGTTTTCTACTTTCAGACATGATGTATGGTTTTTCAGAAATCCGTAAAAGTTATTATCGTATCATGTACTGTGATATAATGTAAGCAATACGTCTTTTTTTTTTTGCCAAGCACATCCCCTGCCCCGCAGAGCTCCGTGCAATAGGAAACTGAGCGCCGACCAGAACTAAACAATAGCCTTAGACTACCGCTTAGATGCTTCAAAATTAAAAAATACCTCAGCTGATGCAGAGTTGATGAACTTTTCATGGACACGTAAGTCTTTAAAATATAAATATATGAAAACACAGCATGACATGAGAATAATGCTTGTAAAACAACGTGTTTTAGCTCGGTTTGTCGGCTACAGAAGCACATTTATAAACAAGAAACGTGAAGTCACCATCTTAACAAAACAGAGCGACATACTTTCTGTGTGATATGCTTGTCAGCCACTAGATGGTGCCATCGGATAAGAGAAATACTCTGAAAAGAGACTTTAAGTGACATTTTCTATATGCGCTGATTGTTTAATCACTAAAATAAGACATTCCTTGTACCAGTATTTTTATCGCTATTTTTAGGGTGCCAGTGCATAAGCATTGAAACACTGTCATTGTCAATTGGCTTCTAATCATCTGTTTCAGTCAGTTTTTTTATGTGCTAGTCCTAATGCAGCTTTGGAAAAGCAAAGGAAAATGTGTGGCTCAATTGGAAACAATATGCTGTGATTACTGGTAGCATTAATTTATGCAATGTAGAAGAAATTCAAACATCAAAAACAGAATCATTTCCATGTGTACGATGCACACAACACAAAAATGAAAATCTATTGTTCTATAGAGCTCTATAGCTCAGGCCTATTACACAGTGAAATATCATCCAGACTTAAAATAGGTCAAGGACCATTAGGCTTTACTTTTACACCACCACATTGTATGCTTTGAGATTTTTGGAGTTTTTATCAAAGAATATTCAATTTGGTGTGCTGATGTCATGCACTCTAACCTAGGTTTTCCACTGGATATGTTAATAGACATGTTTACCTATGACTTAGACTTAGATTTAGTTCCTCCGGCGCCTACTGGCGCATTGGGCGCAAAGTAATCGCCAGTGAGCTCTGTCGGCCGCGACGGCCTCGGCTTCATCCCATGACAGGTTCACGGCACGTAGGTCTTCGATAAAAGTTCTGCGCCATGTGATTTTTGGCCGTCCTTGTTTCCGTTTTCCGCGTCCTGGGGTCCACAGCATGGCCACTTTTGGTATGCGTGTTTGAGCCATTCGTAGCACATGGCCCCCAAACCGAAACCGTCGCTCTGCCACGACCTCAGCGAGTTGGCGTGTTCCGTTTGGTGGTGGATCGCTTCATTCGTGATGTGGTCGAGGTAGGAAATGTGTAGGATGCGCCTGAGGCATCGTTGTTGGAACGCATTGAGGCGCTGTGTGATGGCCGCTGTCGACCTCCATGTCTCGCTCCCGTATATGGCGGTTGGAATAACGATCGTGTTGAATAGGCAGATTTTTGTTTGTAGCCCGATGGACCCAGACGCCCAGACTGGCTGTAGCCGCCGGAACACTGCCGCTGCCTTTCCAATGCGACATGTGACGTCGCGGTCCGTGCCACCATCTGATGTGACTATGCTTCCCAAGTAGGTGAATTCATTTACCTCTTCAAGCCGTTGTTGGTGGCTGATCTGAACCACTGTGTGTGCACCGGCATAGCCCACTCGCATCACTTTGCTCTTCGCAGCACTGATCCTCAGCCCTGCTTTCCCGGCTTCATGTTCCAAGGTTGTTGTGAGTTATACAAGGCCACGTTGTGTAGGTGCGAGTAGTGCAATGTCGTCCGCAAAATCAAGATCCGCTAGCTTCGTGTTGCCCCATTGGATGCCTGGGTCGCCTTTATCAAGCATCCGTCGCATAGTGAAGTCCATAACGAGGAGGAACAGGAGCGGCGACAGGACGCAACCTTGTCTGACTCCCGTTTCGATCGCGAAGTATTCCGTCAAGCCGTTTTCTGTGCGTACGCAGCAGCGAGAGTTGTGGTACAGGCTGCGGAACAAACCGATGTACCGTTCCGGGATGCCGTATACTCGAGCAATATCCCATAGTGTTTCACGGTGTATGCTGTCGAAGGCCTTCGTGAAGTCGATGAAATTGATTGAAAGCCGCTGTTGGAACTCTATTGTCTGTTCGATAATGTTGCGGAGAGCAAATATCTGCTCTGTGCATGACCGGCCACTACGGAAGCCAGCCTGCTCTTCACGCAAACGCTCCTGGACGGCCCGTCGTAGCCGATTTAGTATCATAAGGCACATGACCTTTCCAGGGACAGAGAGCAGCGTAATGCCCCGCCAATTGTTGCAGTCAGAGAGATTACCCTTCTTCGGCAGCTTGACAATGACGCCTTCCCGCCAGTCCTGTGACACTTGTGTCGTCGTCCATATCGCGTTGATGAGGTTGGTGAGGACTGCAATCATGACTGGTCCACCATGTTTGAGTAACTCGGGCGCGATCTCATCGGTGCCAGGGGCCTTCCCGCTTTTGAGCGTTTGGACTGCCATCTTGACTTCATCGGCCCTAATAGGGCCCACATCCACAGGAAGGTCAGCTGTGGGTTGTAGAGCATCCGCTGGGAGCAGCTCCATCGGCTGTGGCTGATTAAGGAGTTCTCGAAAGTGCTCGGCCCACCGTTGGTCCTGTTCTGCTGGCGTTGGCAGGGTCCGGCCGTTTTTGTCTTTCACGGACACACCTTGCCCGCTGGGGGACCCAGCGAGCTCTCGTACAATCTGGTATAATGTTCTGGTATCATTCCTGTCAGCCGCCTCTTGTGCCTCCTCGCCCTTGCGCTCAAGCCATGCACGCTTGTCCCGGCGGCAACTTCGCTTGACCTGACGGTCAGCATCCCTGTACCGTCTCTCAGCTACAACCCGTGCCTCGCCCATTGTGGCGTCACGGAGTTCTTTTTCATGTCGCCGATGGTCGATGAGGTCCCAAGTGCCAGCGGTGATCCAGCGCTCTCGATGCCGTCCACGCCGTCGGCCAATCGCAGTTTCGGCGCTAGCCTTGACCACATCTTGGAAGGCCACCCAGCTGCTCTCAGGATCATTGTCCACATAGGGGATTTCGAGGGCGTCGAACCGATTCTGGAGTTGGATTTGGAACGTATGGGCTGTGGCGGCCTGTTGTAGTTTGGATACATCAAATGGCTGTGGTCGACGTGGTTCCTTCTGTGTGCGGCGAAGGCGTAGCCGAACCTCCGCCAGTACAAGGTTGTGATCTGAGCTGATGTCAGCACCACGACAGGAACGCATGTTTAGTAGTGATGATCGCCACCGTCTGTTGATGCACACATAGTCGATCTCGTTCTCCACCTGGCCGTCCGGCGATCGCCACGTCGTCTTGTGTATTCGTTTGTGTTTGAAGAATGTGTTACCAATGCGGAAATTTGAGGCGGCGCACAGCTGCCTAAGGCGGTCACCATTGTCGTTCGTTCTTGCCGCTGAGCCATGTGGTCCGACGACATCCTCATAGCCATCTCGATCTGTGTCCAGCTGTGCGTTGAAGTCACCAAGCAACAGTGTAAGGTCGTGCCGGGGGAGAGCATCCAGCTCGGCTTGTAGTTGTGCATAAAAGGTATCTTTCGCCGTTTCATCCGCATCTTCCGTAGGCGCATATATTTGCACCACATTGATCTTGACATGGCGCGCTTGTAGTCTTGCTGTGATGATCCGGTCTGACACTGGCTTCCAGCTCAATAGTGATGTAGCCGCTTTCGTGGAGAGTATGAGGCCCACGCCTCGGACATGGTCGTCGGCGTGTCCCGAGTAAAGGACAGTTTTACCATCGCTGCGCAGCTGGCCGGAACCCGTCCAGCGCATCTCACTGATTCCAAGCACATCCAGTTTGTAGGTGTCGAATTCCCTCGTCAGTTGTGCCAGTTTTCCGGTTTGGTAGAGCGTGCAAACATTCCATGTTGCGATTCTAGTCCTAGTCCTTGCGTCGAACGTGTGGCCGTGCATCAGGGGCTGGGCAACCCGAGGGCTTTCCCCCAGTCCCGTCATAATGAAACGACCTCCGCCGTCGCGTCCAAATCCAGGTTGCTGATTATGATTTCTTTGCGTTTCAGTAGCGGCTTGATTTTTTACAGGGTGGAATTGCTAGCCCCACGCCCAACCCTCCTCCTTTCTCATCCGGTGCTTGGGAACCGGCAATGGCGGAGTTGTTTACCTATGAGTTCAGTGAAATGTCCCTTGCAGCCAGGAGTGGTTCAGGTGCAAATCGGCAGTGAAAGTGTTCCACACAGCCGGTCCCACAAACTCTCGAAATCACAGGAGAATTGCAACATCACGCTACCCTGACAAGCCATCCTATATACGTACATGAATACATAGTCTGGCCACGACCTATAGGGAAGCCCAGTTGTGGGGTGGAATCTACGATTGTCTTTCAAACTATCTCTGCAAGCTATTGGACAATGAACAATGTGACATACTCACCCCTACAGATGTTGGTCAGCGAGC